GGGGCGGGGCCGGGGTCAGGAGCGCGCCGGGCTATCCTGCGAGAGGGAGCAAGTAGTGGGAGGTTGCCGCACGGTGGCGGGAAATGGCCGGCACACCGGCCTCGGGGAGCTGTTCTGGCCAACCGGGGCGGTATGTGGCGGGATAGGCGGGGTTGGAGGTGGGACAGAATCAAGCCTGGGACCTGGGGGAGTCCGACACCTAAACTAGGAGAGGCGTGTAAGAGAGACTGAGAGCAGAGGGGGGTCGAAAGCTGGTGGGCCGCTTCTGGGCCGGAGGGCAGCAGCAGGGCAGGCAATGGAAGGAGGGGATGTGGGATACGCGGCAGGAGGAGGGTCAGGTACCAAGTGAAAAGTGAGGAAGGCACGAAACCTCAAGACGCGGGAAGAACTCGAGCCAGTGGATGGTTCCCTCGTAGTTGGCGCGCTCTTGGATCCTAGTGGCCCCACGGGTTAAGTAGCTTATCAGGGCCTGTGGGTCTCTGCTTTCCTATCTATGTGCCGGTTTATCTCGTGTCTGTCTGTATGTTTCAGTGCCCCGATATCTCTTTTGCTGTGTTACGGTCTTTGTGTACAACTGCCTAAGGGTCTTTGCCTTTCTGTATCTATCTCAATGCTTCGTTTCTGTATCTAAGTGCCTGCTATTGTTTCTCTGTCTCCTGAATCTGTGTATTTCACTTATCTCCTAGGAGGGGTATTACCAACTGAGCAGATGCAGTGTGTACCAGCACCAATACCCTCACCTCTAGCCAGGCTCCTGGATAGCGCCTGCCGCGCCCAGCGGTTCGGCTGGCAAGGCTAGAGCAGCGCTTGCGGTGTGGGAGGAATGAATGGCGGCGTCGCGGGGGGCGCTGTGGCTGTGGTTGACGCCAGGAAGTCCGGAGCACCTGAGGACGCGGCGCGCGCTGGTGTGTCCCGAGGGAGTACGGGAGGTACGGAGGGCGCCCCCTCCCTTGTTGCTGGGCACCACGGATGGGAACACGCCCTCTTCTTCCCCTTACCTCCGCCCTGGCTGGCTGTCAGCGGCAGCGTCACCTGCTTGCTAGCGCGCAGGAGCTCTGGCGCAATCACTGGCCTTGAGGGGGAGGGCATGTCTCACATTCGGCCACAGTGACGGCAGCACTGATAAGGGTAATAACCACGCTGTATTTTCTGTGCATTCACATCCCGAGGCGCTTACTCCCTTATTCTGGCCAACTCACATAGCTAGTGAGGCTGCTGGTTGTTGGGTCTCCTCCCTCCAACTCTTCTTCATCAAATGTTAGCCCCAGGGACATAGAGGCTAATGCAGTGGTGGCTGCCCTTAGCGGAAAGGATAGGGAGATGGTGCTAGAGGATGCCTCAGTGTCAGCCTCACTCAAGGCCCTAGGCCAGGGGTTCTATCCTATCAAGCCTTCCTCTGCTCTGTCCTTGTCTCTTGGATGTGGGCTGAAGCTGGAAATGGAGGCGAGAGGAGTACTGACCCTGGAAGGATAATAGAGGGGGAGCTCAGGATCACTAGAAAAGAGTTCAGAAAATTCCATCCCCACTAGAAGTTGTCTAGCAATGGGTTCCAATCCTGACTCTGCCACTTTCTAAGTAACCTTGAACTGAGGGAACCATAATTAAAGCTTTAAAAAATTAATTCATTTGCACTTGTAACATGTTAAGAAAATAAGAAAAGCCACACAAAACTTTTCATGTTCACATATGCACGTGTGTGTGACATACTTTTCCTCCGTGTGTTTGCATAATTTGCATACCTCTTCCAGCCCCATTTTCTAGTCTGAAGCGTAGAGATGATTGAACCTACCTATTAAGGATAGATTTGTAGATGAAATGAAATTGTCCTGAGGTAAAGTGAGTAGTCTCAGGAGGTAATAGGCTGCTCCTCACCTAAAGTGCTAAAAGAGGGGCCCATGAGAGTTCTTGCCAAGGATGAGAGCAGAGCACCATGTAAGGAATTAAAACAATTCTCTTTTCTGCTTCCAGAATGAGAGAGATTAGAGGATAAACAATTTAACCCAGAACTTATTTGGTTAGCACCTTTTTTTTTTTAATTTCAGGTTAATATTAGGGTATAAACAACCAGTTCACAATATTTGAATTTTTTAGGTAGAGTCCCTCTTGTAGTTGTGTCCCACACCTAAAAGGTGTGCCACACCCCTACATTGTGCCCATTAAGTGGGAGCACACCAATCCCCACTCCCCTCTTCCTCCATCTTCATTCTCCTTCCCCCCTACTTGAATTGAATTAAGTTTTACTGGCTTCATATTAGTATTGAGTACATTGGATATTTGCTTTTCTATTCTTTCTTTTTTTTTTTTTTTTTTTTTGAGACAGAGTCTCAAGCTGTCCCCCTGGGCAGAGTGCCGTGGCATTACAGCTCACAGCAACCTCCAACTCCTGGGCTCAAGCGAGTCTCCTGCCTCCGCCTCCCAAGTAGCTGGGACCACAGGCGCCCGCCACAACGCCCGGCTATTTTTTGGTTGCAGCCATCATTGTTGTTTGGCGGGTCCGGGCTGGGGATTCGAACCTGCCACCTTAGGTGTACGTGGCTGGCGCCTTAGCCGGTTGAGCTATAGGCGCCGAGCCTGCTTTTCTATTCTTGTGAAGAATGAGTTTCAACTCCATCCAGGTTAATACAAAAGATGTAAAGACTCCATCTTTTTTATGGCAGAATAGTATTCTATGGTATACATATGCCAGTTTGTCAATTCATTCCTGGGTTGAGTGCCTTTAGGTTGTTTCCACATCTTTGTGACTGTAAATTCAGCTACAATACACAAACTCAGCTGCAATAAACAATCTAGTGCAAATGTCTTTATGATAAAATGATTTTCTTTTCTTCTGGGTAGATGTCTAGTAGTGGGATTGTGGGGTCAAATAGGAGTGGTTAGAAACTTCTTAAATAATCTTACTCCTGTCCCTGCTGTTCATGCTGGATTATGGTTAAAGCAAAAGACCTGAGTGTAAAACAGCCAATTTTGTGATATATAAGTTTTTATAGTAAAGTATAGGTTTGTAGTAAAAATGTGGGGGGATTTCTTGAAATTCTGATCCTTTACTTAAAATTTCAATGTTCTGCATTCTGCCCATGAGGGGAAAATTTATTTTCATAGCCAAGAGGAGAGAAAATTTGTATAGAATTGTGTGACAGTACATTGAGTTTCTTAGTAGTATACTTGCACCATATGTTCTAAACAGAATAATGTGCCTTTTGATAATGGCACTGTCATTCAAATGGAAACTGTAGAACTGTGTACTGAGTTGGATAGGAACCCATCATCCTAATCTATGTCCACCTGTAACCTCAAAATGTGCCCTTATGTGGAAATAGGGGTTTTGCAGATGGAGTCATATGTGATTAGCGTGGGCCCCAAGTCCAATCACTGATGTCTGTATAAGAAGAGAATAGATATGTACACACAGGAAAAAGGCCTCATGAAAGAGGCAGAGATAGGAGTCATGAGGCTACAAGCCAAGAAATTTCTGGGAAGCAGTTGGGATTGGTAGGAGCCACCAGAAGTTGGAAGAGACAAGGAAAAATTCTTCCCTAGAGCCTGCTCAGTGATCATGGCCCTGCTGACACCTTGTTTTTGGACTTTTGGCCTCCAGAATAGAGAATACATTTCTGTTGTTTTAAACCACCCCATTTGTTGTAGCAGGATAAGCTTTTAAAAATATTTTGTGGCAATCTTTTTATTGTCATCTTTTATGATCGTATTTCTCCTTCCTTAAACTCTCTGTGGGACCTGCTCCCTCCTACCCTGTTCACTTGAAGGAAGCCCAAACCATGAGAGTATTTCCAGGACTCATTTATTTAAAAGAAGCTGATAAATTACCAAAAAAAAGAATAAAGATCTGTGTGAACAGACAGGGTAAGATCTTCAAGGCCTGCCAAAATGTCACCAAATAAGTTTAGAGTATAATTTCAGATATGTTGAAAAGTACACATACTCATCTCATCTGTATACATACCTACACATACACACACACATAAGTATGTTTAGGTATGTACATGCATATAAAAGATTTGGAAGGATGCATACCAAACTGCTAATAATAATTCTCTCTCTTCCTTTTTTTTTTAGACAGAATCTCACTTTGTTGCCCTGGGTAGAGTACTGTGGCATCATAGCTTACAGCAACCTCAAACTCTTGGGCTCAAGCAATTCTCTTGCCCCAGCCTCCCAAGTAGCTGAGCCTACAGGCACCAGCCACAATGCCCAGCTATTTTTAGACACAGAGTCTTGCTCTAGCTCAGGCTGGTCTCGAACTCCTGAGCTCAAACAATCCATCTGCCTTGGCCACCCAGAGTGCTAGGATTACAGATGGGAGCCATCACGACCAGCCTAATAATTCTATCTATCTTTTTTTTTTTTTTTTAAAGAAAAATTCTTTTAGAGACAGAATCTCATTATATTGCCCAGGCTGGACTCATACTCCTTGGCTCAAGTGATTCTCCTGCCTTAGCCTCCTGAATAGCTGGGATTACAGGCATGTGCCACCATACCCAGCCTAATAGTAGTTATCTCTGAGGATGGTACTGGGATCCCAGCAGAACAAACTTCATCTTTTATTCTGTATATTTCTGAAGTATGTTATTTTTGCAATAAAAAAGGTTTTAATAATTTTTAAAATGTTTAAAACCAATGATACAGTCCACTTACCAAGCATCACACTCTAGCACAGACAAATCGGTTGACTTTGAAAGAATAATATGGTGATTAAGAGCATGGAGTTTGTTTGTTTATTTGTTTGTT